AGGAAGGAAGGAAGGAAGGAAGGAAGGAAGGAAAGAGGGAGGGAGGGAGGAAGGGAGAGAGAGAGAAAGAAAGAAAGAAAGAAAGAAAGAAAGAAAGAAAGAAAGAAAGAAAGAAAGAAAGAAAGAAGGAAAGAAAGTAAGAAAGAAGCACTATTAGTACACCCTATGCCACAACACCCTGCACCCAGAAGACAGCCAACAAATTCTACTGATTAATCCTGCTTGCATAACAGCGGGACAGATACCTCCAGTGATCTCCCCATTGCTCCTGACTACTGTCCCTACCTGGTTCCCCTCCCTCTCAGCCCTTCTTGTATCTCTCAGGAGAATCTTCCCAAACAGCAGCTTTGAGCTTTCCTTGACTCAGACATGAAACATTTACCCGGCATCTGCCATGCACCAAGTCCAGGGAAACAAATATATCCTATTGTCTCTGCATTCCAGATGTTTGCCAGCAAGTGGGGAGGTGAGCAACTACGCAGATCCTACCATTCTCTAAAAAAGGCAAAGGCCTCTGATGGGCCAGGCGTGTCCTTTGTAGTTGTCCATGAAAGAGCTCCAGCTGACTGTTCCTGCCCTGCTGTCCAGCAGAAGTCAGTCACATCAAGCTACCTCCTGTCTTCCCAGAACTCCCCTCCCAAGAATGACCTCCAGTGGGCTGCCTGCCTGTGCCTGACAGATGCAGCAATCTGAAGGCAGATGCTTTCTCATCATCTATTTCCGTATCCTCCGTGATGCCTGTTGCACGGTAGGCACTTGAGAGGAGTTTGTCAGCTGGAAGTGAAGAAGGATGGACTCCTCTGGGCCAGGTTTGCGACCGTAGCCTTAACATCACCTGGATTCCTTTAGAGCATACCAGCTTTGTGGTGTCTCCTAAGCCCATGACAGGTAGATAGATGGGCTTGCTTCCTAGGGCCCATCCCACCCTGTTGGACACCCTACAGAGCCTCTCCCCAGCCACTCACTTGCTGTCCTCGCTCTCCAGCAGGCCCCTGTACGTGTTGATCTCGCACTCCAGCCGGGCCTTGACATCCAGCAGCACCTTGTACTCTTGGTTCTGTCTCTCCAGGTCACAGCGGATGTTGGCCAGCTGGGACTCCACGTTGGTGATCATGCACTGCATCTGGGACAGCTGGGAGGTGAAGCGGGCCTCCGTCTCCCCCAGGGTGTTTTCCAGAGAGTCTCTCTAGGGCAAAGGAAAGGCACAACGGTGAAGAGGCAGCTGCTTTCTGTGGCCTGGTTCAGAAAGACAGAGGAGAGCTGAGTCTTTGCTCTAATGAATGGCCCCTCTCTTCTAAGCCACTGTGGAAACAGAAGCCCAGAAATAGATCACGTCATCTGCTCCAGGTTACACATCCAGTAGAACCATAGTCTGAACTCAAATCCTGAATCTGATCCTATAAAGTTTAGAGTTAGAGTTCATCAAATATTCTATTAGGACTTCACATCTTCCTGATGGCTTTCACATGGGAGTCCTTGAAAAATACCCGGCCCCAAGCCAAGGCTCCAGAAACTCTGGTTCCAATGATCTGGAGAAAATCCTAGGTGTGGGGGTTATTTAATCTCTATAGATGACATTGAGAACAGGGGATTGGAAGGACGGGCTAGTTGAATGGCAGGCCTGTTGGGGGAAATGATGTTTGGCATCCAATATGGGCCATATCCCTTTATCTCTGAGCTGGTTCCTAAGAACCCTCCCTCCAAGAAAGTCAGCTGGGGATGTGAATCTCGTGGCTGAATCGGGTTGTCCTCCTGCCCTCCGGACATGGCTGCAACCCATACCCAGTGCTTTCCCAGATCCAGAGCTAAAAGGTGCCCTCCAGCAGCTCTCACCAGGCTGTGCTGAGCCTGCAGTTCAATCTCCAGGGTGTTGACTGTTCGTCTCAGGTCAATGATGTCCGACTGATAGCTCTGAAGCTGCTCAGAGCTTGTGGCCACCTGTTTGTTAAGCTCCTCCATCTGCAGCAAAGACAGGGAGAAGGCTGAGAGTCCCTTCCTTGGGACACTGAAGAGCCCAGCCTCCTGGGAGAGACGTGCCCACCTGCGTATTGAACCATTCCTCCACGTCCCTGTGGTTGCTCTCCACCATGGTCTCATACTGACATCTCATCTCCTCCAACATCCTGGTCAGGTCCACGGGGGGTGCAGCATCTACCTCAATGTTAAGGCGGTCCCCAAGCTGTTGTCTAAGGACACCAACTTCCTGCAGAGACACAAGACCCCAAGCAAGTTTGAAAAATGCATAAAATATAACAAGGGACCCTGAAGAGCTTGGCACTGGGTGGGGGAGGGCCTTCAGGGCCTGAAGCCTACCCTGCAGAGTCTCAATGGTCTTCCAACTGATCGCCCCTGGTGACACTTCCTGTCACTTGGGCAGAAGCCAAGTTCAGGGTCAATTTTTTATTTATTTATTTATTTATTTTATTTTTTTTTTTTTTGGACTAAGATGGGAAACCCATGCACCACCATCCTCTCCCATTTTCTCATCATGCTACCAGCCCTATTCATTGAGGAAGGAGGGTCACAGGATCTGACTTCACTTGATTCAAGGTCCAAACGAGAACAGGCCCCTCCCCAGGCCTGCCTGCCAGTGAGAGAAAGTTGTCACTGTGGCTGCCCAAGTGTATGATAATGCCTCATTAGTGACTTCTTGGTGCAGTTCCCAACTCTCTGGTTTTAGTGGAATGAGTCAGATGCCCCAGGGCATTCACTGAGTGCATGGTGACTGATTGTTATTTTACATTTAAGCCTAGGGAAGGAAGCCTAGCCAGAATCCAGAGACACTTGTTCATTCAAATCCCTGCTGAAAAGTATGAGGGTCAACCCGGAGGAGGAAGACCAAAGCACCACAGAGCAAATGGTCCTTGCAGCTCATGGGGCCCTGTGAGAATAGGGGGAAGAAATGGTGTCTATGACTTAAGCTTCCGGATCTTACATAAAGACAGAAGAAACAAGAGGTGGGCAAGAATAGGGATAGAACAGAGATGATAGAACACCAAAGTCTAACCCTCAGAGGGGAGGGCTCATCCAGTAGGCAGCCTCACAGAGAGAGACCGTGTGTACATTCTATAATGCAAACATCCTAGGCCCACTGGGATAAGGCTCTCACCAGAAAGACAAATGCAGTCCCTGCTACAGAAATTTGGCAGTCACCAGGAAGTACAGAAGAAAGAGATGCATTTGTGTTCACCTACCAAGAGGTAGGTGTTTCATGACCAGGGCCTGTGTCATATTCTTGATCCATGTAATATCATTAGATCCTCCCAATAACCCTGCATGGTAGTTACCTCTATTTCATGAGTGATGGGACTCAGAAAGGGTACAAGAATCACATAAAGTCACAGAAACAATATGTGGTCCACCTGGCCATTTCAACTCATGTCTATTCAACTCCAAACCCTATTTTGTTTTCAAGGTGTACCCTAGACCCACCTCTGTTTTACTTTTCATCTCACCTCTTCATGGCTCCTCTTGAGGCACAGAAGTTCCTCCTTCAGGGACTCTACTTGAGCCTCCAGGTCAGCCTTATTCAGGGTCAGTTCATCCAGGATCCTGCGCAGGCCATTGGTGTCTGCTTCTACCAGCTGTCTCAGGGACAGCTCTGTCTCATACCTACAAAAAAAGTCAGGGTAAGCAACAAAAGGGTAGAACTGTATACAGAACCCAAGGAAGGCTTCAAAATGCTGGCGCTGTCTAATCCTGTATGAAACCAATAGAGAGCTAACCCAAGGGTGTTCAAGGAAAAGACTCCCTACCTCCAAGTCCCCTGCCAAACTCACTTGGTCCTGAAGTCATCTGCAGCCAGCTTGGCATTGTCAATGTGCACGACCATCCTGGCATTCTCTGCCTTGGTGCACAGAACCTGCCAACCAAGACACATAGAGTGGGTAGGCGCAGAAGGAAAAGAACACAGGGAAGGTGGTCTAGTTCCATTTCTGTTGCTTTGACAAAACAACCCTGACCAAAAAAAAAAAAAAAAAAAGCAACATCAAAAGGGGTTTATTTGGCTGACAATTCCAGTTAGTAAAACAACTAGTCACCTCACATCCACAGCCAAGAGCAGAGAGTAATAAATGCATGAATGTGTGTTCACTCGATTGCCCGCTTGCTTGATCGATTGATTGCTCTCAGCTTGATCACTCCACTTTTAAAGAGTTCAGTACCCTCTGCCTAGGGAATAGTGCCACCCATAGTGGTCTGCGTCTTCCCACATCTAGTAGCACAACTAAGAATCACCTGGGAAGAGAGCTTCCATGAGGTATTGCCTACATTGGGTTGGCCTGTGGGTGTGTCTGTGGAGGATTATCTTAGGCTAATTGAGATCTTCCAAATTTCCCATTATGGATGCCGTGAGCAATGTGTAAAGAAAGAGTCCTATTCTGTCTGACAAGTCCTTGACCTTTACTGAGAATTCAGGAGATACAGAGGCTGTATGAAACACTTGACCTGCATTGCTTACCGAGTTCTCTTAAGTACCCCTTTAAATATGGACCAGTATTCTCTCCCCTTCTACAGATGAGGAAACTGATGTCTGGAAAAGGAAAAGAGACCTCCAAAGCTTTGCAACGACAGGGCCCTTCCTGCACTAAGGTCTTTAGATGAATGTTCAAGTTAGGAGATAATCCTATGCCCTGGGGAGGTCTCTTTTCCCTGAGCATAGCTGGAAACCTTAATGAGATTCCTATCTAGAGTACTGGCTTTTCTGGGTGCCTCTCCCAGCTAGTCTGTTCACAGCTCGCCCTCACCTCACCTTCTGCTGGAGCTCTTCGATGGTCTGGAAGTAGGACTGGTAGTCAGGACACATGGTCATCACCTGCACCTGGTAGACATCTTGGATCTTGCCCTCCAGCTCTGCATTCTCTTTCTCCAGCTGCCGCACCTTCTCCAGGTAGTTGGCCAGGCGGTCATTCAGGACCTGCATGGTCTCCTTCTCATTGCCGTTGAAGGCACCCTCACAGAACAGGCCATAGGCACCCATGGAGCTGGAGAAGCAACCAGTTGGCCGGCGGTTGCTGGGTTGGCAAGAGCTGGGCAGGTAGGCCTTGGAGAGGCAGCTGGCTGGCCGGTAGGTGGTAGGCATGCAGATGGAGGGCATGCACTGCAGGGGCTGGCAGACATAACCCAGGCACAGCTCGGGCCTGCTGCTCATGTTACTGGAACAGACAGAGGAAGGCCGTGAGGAGCTCTTGAGAGAGGCTGGCAAGGTGTTGGTGACACAGCAGCTGGATGTCATGCTAGGGAGGAGCTTTCTCCCCCAGCAGCTCCCTGGATATCTACAGACTCCATCCTTCCCAGGCCTTTTTATACTCCTGGAGTAAAGGGGCTCACACTAAAAAAGTCATCAGGGGGAGTGGGAGTGTTGATGTTTACACTCAGCCCCAGAGGAAGCTGATAATTAATTTGTAATTCAGTTTCCAATAAGGAGTTCCTTTCCTCATAAAAGAGGGCAAACTGGTCATTTGGTTAAAGCAGGACTCTGGGTTCTTGTCATTGGTCACCCTCGGGGGAGAGCATCAACATACATCTTCAAAGGACCTGTCCCATACCTAGGCCCTCATTACTAGGGTGTGGCAGCAGGTACTGTCGCAGCCTGTCCTGTGTTGCCAGGGACCTTGCCAGCTGCACCCCCACCTGCACCTGCCCTAGGGGATGCCTGCCGAAAGGTAGATTCCCCTTTAATGAAAGCATTTCATGTGGGAAGAGGCCTGGCCCCTTCACAAGGAAATGTGTGGGTGACAGAAGCTGCCTCAATAGCGAGGTATAAATCTGGAGAGATAGGAAAGAGACCAGGGGTTTCAGAATATACCGTGTCCTCCCACGTATCAGGAGGAGAGAAAGAGCTGAAGACACGACACCTAAGTAGCTAAGACATCTTTTCAGTTGGATGCAAATAGGAATGGAAGGCCCTTCTCCTTGGAGAAGCAGGTCAATGTCATGGCCGCCTCCAGGAGGCAGGGCCTCTGTCTTGACCCTCTGTGGGTCCTTCACTTGAAGGTGGATGACACTGTGGTGGAATGTTCTACTATCATCTGTTCAGGCTGAGGTTGACCAAGTTAGAACTGGCTCTCCTTTTACTTTCTACAGTGGTGCATGGGGAGGGCTCAATTTGGGACCCCAGTAAGCAGAAGCCCTGTAAATCAGGTCTTTGAAAGGGGATGCTCTGCGCTAAGCCAAGAAACAAGGAACAGTCGTGCCTAGTTCCCAAGCCTTAGTCATTCCTTAGAGCAACAGGCTAAGCTAACGCTTTTCAGTTCCGGCTGTGAAAGCTGTGGGCTTACAGGCACATCACTGCCCGTGTACTCACTCCTGCTTTAGCTACTTTTCCTGTTGCTATAACAAAATGCCTGAAAAACGCAACTCAAGGAAGGAAGGCTTGCACTGGGGGGTGGGGGGGGACCACAGTTCATCATTTGCCATGATGAAGGCCTGGCAGCAGGGGCTTGAGGCAGCTGGTCACGTTGACTCCAGTCAAAGGCGGAGAGAAATGAATGCTGACACTCCAATGACTTTCTTTCGTATCTGCTCAGAACCCTAGACACTAGACTCTCTTCTCAAAACAATGTCGGGATATAAGCAATTTTCCTACCTCTCCAATTACTTCCTTCAGGGGCATTGGCAAGAGGACAGGAAATAGAAAATACCACCCTGTCCTCTCAGTGTTTAAGATCTGGAGATAGAAACTCTGCCTTTCTAATGTGTGCTGTAACTTTTAAAAGTCACTTTGTCTCCCTGCATCTCAATTTCTTAATGAAAATTGACTTTGATTAAATGATCTATCAAGAGATGAGGATCTTTACACACACACTCACACATATCAGTGTTAGAGTGCACGCCTAGCATGGGTGAGGGCATGGTCCCACCCCGACTCTCATGACCCTCCTCCCCTCCTCACCCCCATAAAAAAAAAAAAGAACTTCCATTTTGATCCTCTGGAACAACCAGAATTCCAGTGGCTTCCTCTCAATGTTACAGTTTGGAGAAGCTGGTGATGCCAGATGGGGGGCAGGCGTGAGAGCAACACCAATTACCTGAGATGAGACACCTCAGCCACCCTTCAACATCATAGATAGGCAACACTTGCTAGATATTATGTGAATGGAAGCCAGGCTGGGTACTTGGCAGTGATTTACTTACTTTGTCCTGTATCCTCTTGGCTGTGATGAAATACCCTGCCGAAAGCCACTTCGGGAAGAGCTGATCTTAGCTCACAGTATGAGGGATAGCCCATCGTGGCATGGTAGGAACTGGGGGCAGCTAGTAACACTGCATCTGTAGTTAAGAAGCAGACAAAGCTGCCCCGAGGTCCCCTCAGCATCACCCAAACAGCTTCCAGACACCCCAGTACTAGGAAAATCTTAGGCCAACTGAATCGGGATTTCTGGGGGTCAAGGCAGGAAAAGGGTCATTTTCTGTTTTTTATTTTGTTGTGTTGTGGGTTTGGTTTGTTGGGTTTTTATTTCTAAGCCCTCTGGGTCATTCCAGTATGCAGATAGAGGTGAAAACATCTGGCTGCATGGAGAAAAGGATTGTAAATGAAAAGCAAATGAGTTAAGTAAAGGTAGGTTCTGTGTGAGCTGGTGAGCACCATCTGGGAGGTAGTTAGATAGCTTGGAAGTGGCTTTTGATTCTGAGCCCTCCAGGAAGAAGAGCAGAGTGTGAATTGTACAGAGCAGGCTTCACTAGAGCCTGTGCTCACCACTGTCAGAGTTGAAACTGATGCTAATGCATGCAACTTCTTGGTTGGTTGGTTGGTTGGTTGGTTGGTTGGTTGGTTGGTTGGTTGGTTGGTTGGTCGTTGTCATCATTGTTGTTGTTTTGTTGGGCTTTCTTTGGTTTTGTTTTTTTAATTATACGTAATGGGAGAGTATGGATTGTGAGTGAGGTGTCACATAGACCAGAGGGCATCGGATCCCCTGGAACTGGAGTTACAGGTGCTCGTGAGATCTTTGACATGGGTGCTGGAAACGAAGTCTAAACTCCATTCCTCTGCAGGGAAACAAACACTCTTCACTGCTGAGCCATTTCTCCAGCCCCACAGCTTCTTACATACTTAAGCTGGCCTGAGGTAAGTGGGCACTGCTGCCTGGAAATGCTGCCTCAAAAACGAAATTCCAACAGAGAAAAGTAGATGGCTACCCTAAGAGCATCCAACTAGAAGGCCGAGTCAGTGTTGGCCAGTGTCCAGATGCGAGCTGTATGCTCAGTAAAGTGCCAGGGACACTACAGCCTAGTGACTAAGCGTCACCTGATCTGTTTTCCTCAGGAGAAAACTAAGACTCAGAAAGGCACAATGACCTGCCAACACTCTCCCACAGTGGAAAGGCTTACATTTGAACCCAGGTCCCTCTGACCCGATGTTCCAATTCCGCATTCTTTACATGAATGGCACGGCCTCTTCCCATCACTAAAGTAGTTAGATAGACAGACAGATAGATAGATGTAGATGATAGATAGATAGATAGATAGATAGATAGATAGATAGATAGATAGATAAACAGACAGAGAGAGAAAGAGGGAGAGAGAAGTAGTAAGTAGGAGTGAATACCCTCCCTGTGCTATATCAAGGCCTCCCTTCCAGGTAGAATGACCCCTGCCCATGCTACCTAGCATCCCGCCTGGCACATATTGGTCCTCAGTAAAGGTTTGTGAATAAAGTGAATGAGGCAGGTTCCTGAGCCTCAGTAAATTCAGCCATCGTATTCCAAGAAGGTAATGGTGAAGGCTAACTAGAGCCAGGGTCTGGCAGAGGTCAAAAGCCTGGGCCCTCTTTCAGGGAACTGTAGGGGGACGAGGATTCTGCAACAGAATCAGAGTGAGCTGTTCTGATGCCAGGAAGGGGCATCTCTGGCCCAAATCAGTCCAGTCCCTTTCACCATTCTGCTCTTCACCTTGGTACCATGGTCATCCTCTTAACATCACGTAAGTTCCTGAGCAGGCACCTTTGTCCTCTTTGAAGAGCACCTGTCCCTCTGCAGACAACCTGCCTTCTTATCTAGCTTAGAAGCAAGTGGGCCATCACCCTTGTTCCTCTCCCATTGGGATTGGAAGAAGTTGGTGCTTTGCTTGGTCGTTTGAGGGAAGACATTCTGAACACAAACAACAGGGTGCAGGGGAAGATGCTGGGGGTTCCTGCATCTGAGCCTCGACACCTCATTCGGTGCCAAGGGCACACAGGAGCCTCCTAGGTCACGAGCCTCTGAGTTACGAGTAAAAGTCCCCATTGAGGCTCTATCTCTGTTGCCTGTGTGTAGTGGAGTTGTGGACTATTATGAGATCTCCTGAAGTGAAAGGGTTTCATAAGAGAACTGCAAGAGAAGAGGAGAATTGATATGAATGAACCCTAAAACTACCCTGAGCATGGGACACGTGCCACTGCTCTGTGAGGACCATACACAAGCTCATAAAGGAACCCCGAGGTTCCCTGTTACACTTATCTCAACTTTGTCAGGCCTACGCTGGGACCCCCAAGGTTGCTACATATACCAAGAGGGAAAAGAGGTAACAACGGTCACCACACTGGAACCCTACAGAAAGGTCTTCATCAGGGAAGCCAAGCAAAAAGCCTCACAGCAAGGCCTTCAGTTGGCAAAGTGCCTTTCTCGTAACAACCTGAGTTCAAGCCCCAGAATCCACTGTTTTATTTTTATTTTTTTAAAGCCAGCCATGGAGGCACATGCTTGTAATGTCTGTGCTAGGGAAGCAGAGACAGGGAGATCCTTGGAGTTCACTGGTCAGCCAGTCCAGTCTACGTGGCAAGTCCCAGGGCAACGAGAGATCTTTTCTCAAAGGGGTGGGGGTGGGGTGGATGAAGCCAGAAGAACAACACTCATGTCTGTTCCAAACACACACACACACACACACACACACACACACACACACCGCCTTTACAGTCCTCTAACCACCCCCAATGAGAAGCATAGTGACCCTGTTATTTTCAGGGTTCCCCTTGGACAAACATCCCCCATATGTCTGCCCAGCAGTCAATCTAAACCCAACATGGACACAAACCAACACAGAAATGATGTAAGCCGGTCACTGGGAGCCAGAGCAAACGGCTTTATTGTCCCACCCTCAAGATACACTGTACTGAATTTCAGAACCTACAAAAACACACTCAGAAAGGAAGGGGCCGGCCCAGAACAGAGACCTTGGAGCCCATTGAAATGATGAGGAGTCAAGGCCTGAAGGACAACCAGCCTTAGGTAACTGGGTCAAAGAAACTTGGAGGCATTT